CTGATGCTAGATGACGCCTGACTGTCCCATCCTTATCCATCCCAATCCTCCAGATGATAACTCGATTCCTCAGTACCCCGATGCATCCTTCCATCATTGCCCCGTGCATGAACCATCATCCAGACTCATGACCGCTGCAGGACATCACGGCTCAGGAACATGGACTAAGAAAAAGGCCTTGCCTTTAAGTGGAATGCTGTATCATTTCAAATCATTTCCACCTCCACACTGCAACTTCAATCCTTTGACAGTGTCCTAGACACTCCGTCATATTCATCCCCTTAGATGTGAAGAGCATCAATATTGGCCTTAATCCAGTTATACGACTCAGAGCGGAAATCATCCGTTAGATATCCGGCATAGTCCGCAAAGAACTGGACCAGCTTTCTCTCCTTCTGCCATTGCGGCCAATCCTGGCCGACCTTGCTCTTAGAGGAAGTGCCACCGGAGGCGTCGTTGGGGTCGAGGTTGTAAACAAAATTGGCGTAGTAAGACTGGATGCTCTTGCTGGCGTAGTTGGGCAGGATGCCGTAGAACACCTGCAGGATATCGGAGGCATGGAAAGTTCCGAGGATGGGGGTCCCGAAGTTGTAAGACGCAAGATACGACCAGGCGGGCACCGAGGGGTTGAGAGTGGTGGCGGCGTCGAGAAAGATGCGGCGGCTGAGGGTGAAGATGAGATCGCCAAGAATGGCGGCCAGGCGCTTGAAGCCGGGGTAAATCTCGTTGAAGAGGCCGGTGCCAAAGGGCGAGCCGGCGGAGATAAGGGTACTGTAGGTCGAGACGAGAGACTTAATCTGCGACTCGGTGGCGTCGTTGAAGAAGATATCGTTGAGGTAGCTGACCAGCTTGCTGGTGGTGGTGATGTTGCTCTGGAAGAGGGAGAAGAGAGTGCCCTCGTCCTCTTGATCGCCAATGATCATGGGGACGGCGGCGTACTTCTTAGCAAGCATGAGCTTATCGGAGCTCTGAGTCAAAACCTTGCCATCGGGACGCGGGAGGTAAGAAAGAGCAACGGAGTTGTACGACAGAATCCCAGGCACGGAGTTAGCGGCTTTGAGAAAAGTCTCGTAGGGAAGAGCGCGCAGGCAAGCAAGGGTGTCAGCAGCACCAGAGCAGCCGGCGTTCTTGACGACGGTGTCGTAGACTTTCTGGCCCTTGGGGCAGTCGACGGGGCCGGCGGGGACGATGGAACCAGAGTTCATGATAGCGCCACGGAAAAGGGGTTTGCCGTTGTACGTGTTGTCACCATCGTAGAGGGACATCTGGTTAAAAACGGACATGGCACCGGCGGACTCGCCCCAGATAGTAACCTTGTCCGGGTCACCGCCGAAGGCAGCAATGTTGTCGGCAACCCACTGGAGGCCCATGCGCTGGTCGAGGTGGCCCAAGTTGGAGGAGCCGTCCTTAAGGATCTCCTTTCCGGGCATGAAACCAAAACCACCGACACGGTAGTTGACGGCAACGTAGACGTACGGCTTACCCATGTTGATAGCATTGGTGACTAGGGGAGCGCCATCGTACATGGAGGCCGATCCGAGCTGTGAAGTTTCAGCCTTTGTTCATTACATCGCGTATATAAGCTGGATTGCTCACTTCGAAACCACCACCAAAGATCCAGAAAAGGACGGGGAGCTTATCACCAGCCTTGGTACCCTTGGGACGAGTGATCGAGATGGTCAAGCAGTCCTCCTTGACGTTGAGTATGGTCTTGAAGAGCTGCGTGTTAACGATCTTATCGATAACCTGAGGCAGAAACTCGTTCGACGAGGTGTCGGCAAGGAACTGGGGGCAAGCAGGGCCGATGCCAGACGCATCGAAGACACCCAGAGACGACTTGAGTCTCACGGGAGGCTTGAGGCGCAGATTGCCGGTGGGAGGAAGTGCGTAGGGAATTCCGTTGAAGGCCTCAGTGAGGATGCCGTTAGCACCCACAATCATACCGGTGGAAATGGTGACAGTCGGGGCGGCCCGCTTGTCCAACACCTGGGTAGGGGGCTCAGCTGGGGCAGCAGAGACCCGGCCGAGGAGGGCCAGCGAGGTGGCAAGGAGAGCGTTGGGAAAGCCCTTCATGGTGACGATGTGGCCCGAAGTGGATGAGGAAGGGGAGGGAGAGGGAACAGTCCTTGTCGTCTCTTCTCTTTTGATCACATCTCGACAGCGGCGGGATGGTGGTGGTTTAATACCAATGTTGACAGTCGATGATCGATCCCTAGCCATCCCATCCATAGGCTAACCCACGCACATGCTTCGTGGACCCATCTCACAAAACTCTTAGTCCCTTGACCCTCGTCAGTTCAGTTGGACAACGGATGGACAAGGGACTTGCAAGCCAGCCCAGGACGAGAAGGCTTTGCTTGTGTCTTCCACCCCGCATTTCGGTGGTTGTGGTGTTGGGTTGCTGACCGGAGCAGCAGGGTGGAGGGAGGCTCTTTCGTGGTTGCAAGCAGGGCCAGGTGACCATGTGCCAACATGGAGATATGGACGAGACGGGCAAGTGGCCGAAGGTTAGGGGAGCATTTCCCCAGGACTTCCCACCTCAACTACCGTCCAGGTTACCACCGGGCATGCAGGATATTTGTTATCTTGGATGGCCGATTAGTATGTTTGTGGGCGGCGGACAGGGCAGTGTGACTGCTACAATACGACGGCGACGACGAGGACGGCGACGACGGTAACCATAGTGAACCCATGTTGCGAAACCTCCACTTCCCCACGGGGAATCCTAGAAAACAACACGTCGATTGGTGACATTTGTGCTCGCTAATCACGGTAGCATAGATCTTGCTGGGGAAGATGGAACGTCGGAGGACATTTTGCGAGTTTGGATGCCCAACACCAACAAACAAAACAATTCGAGTGCGAGATGGTGACCAACTCTTTGAATGAGCATATCCATAGCATGTGAAAGATGTGCGACCAGTTCCCGAGTTGTGCCTGGTGCGCCTGTTGTGCCTGGTGGTGTCCCTGTCCTTGGCGCTAGATGAAAAGCCTCGGTCTCATGTAGGCAAGGATATTCGTCGATAAAAAAGCGCTATCGGTAGTTGGGCGTTTCTTGGTGTCCGCGGCTTGGCCATGGTTGGATGGGAGCTTTTCCAACTTCCGATCGAGAGTGAGGGGTACCTGGCAAAGAGTTGGAGTAGCTTCGCCGGAGCTCACGAGGCACAGGAGGCACAGCGAGGCTCTGGAGACAGCAATTAGAGGGCATCGGGAGCAGTCCATGCGGTGAGATTTGCGCTGAAATCGGTTGGGATGAAGCCATCTCCAATACATTTGACGGTGTTTCTCGTCATGTCGCGAACCGATATCAGTAAGACATCATTGACATAAGCCGGACGGCGTTGCCGCTCGGGAACGTGTGGAAGCCATGCATGCTTCGTTTCGACAGGCTGAGATACGATGGGGGCTGAGAGGATTGACGTGACACTGTATGAGACAGAAACAACGAAGGGTCGAAGTCGAAAATGGAAGGAGAACTACCGAAAACGAAACGACAAAATGGATAAGGCCCAGATCGGCTCAAACTGTTCATGGAGCAGTATGGAGGATTTCAAGGATATTCTACACTAGCAGGGCTGTGACTCAGGCTTTACCAAAACCACTTTGCCCTTTCGAGCGTGCACGTCCCCGGGCTTACCGTCTTTAGCGATAGCGCCTTGGCTGTCACAACTGTAGCATCGTGAGTTGTTTGCGACTTGGGGGGAAACTGCCTAAACTCTCGGCCTTGGCAGAATCCTCCCAATGTGAAAAATTTCCTTCATGTGAACATCACAAATGCCAATTCCAGACTGTTGATCTCCTCAAGAGGGGTTAGGTGGTTGCTGTTAGTCATCCAAAAAAAAAAACCCTACAACCTTCAACTGCGAGAACATCACGTTCGGATACAAGCGCCGACGACCTCGACCTCACATCTCCCCGCCTCCACACACCTCCATGATCCATCTCGCATGGCATAATCGGAGTGAAATATGGGGTCTGAAAACTACTATACGGGTCACGTCAACGGCAAACGGCTACGGCGGCAAACCAAGCCAACCACCACACCCACCCCCCTCGTGTTTGTGAAGATGTTCGGTGAAAATTGCGGAGCGTTTACCCCAACTTCTTCTTGGCCTCAAGATCAGCTACCCACAACCTACTAGCGGCGGAAGTCTGACGTGAAATGCGGGGGTGTCCAATTACGATCTCTCACAATCTGACATCTGCCAACATTTCCCTTCCGAGCCCTCCCAGTTCAAATTCCAAACTGCAAAGTCCACCGAGAAAGTGACATGTAGGAAACCTTGGAGCTCTCCCCACTACCGAATTGAATACCGAAATGGGTTTGGTTCGCTTTGTTCGGGGGTTGGTTCTTTGCGAGGCTCTCAATAATCCGCGTCGAAGTGCAAACTCACCTGGAGGTATCGATTGCTCGGTGAGTATTAGGTACAACAGAACACTCGAACGGGAGTGGAGACTGAAGCACAAAGGTTAGCCAACCTATGTCCTCCTCACAGTACACCAGCGCTGCTTCCATTTCCGCCGGTCAAGATCATGTGTTACGCACCACGGCCGGGGAGCGGATGTGGAACAGTCTTTCAAGTCTCATTCATTTTGTCGACTCTTACAGCGTGTAGCTCCCTGAGTCTAAAATCTCACGAGCTGCGTGCCCGCCACTCAGCACACACAGTCCACACTATCATGTTCCACCAGTCGATCGTCCCGTCTCTGTTTGTAGCTCTGCTGAACTTCTGGAAGTGGTGGGACTGGATCGTCACACCCACATCAGCAAGCCGGCCCGCATTCTTCAAAAAAGGGGGAGTGTCTCCTGTTCCTGACGATCCGAGGCAGTTACTTGCCAATGGTGTGCAAGCCTTCCAGGTATCGAGACCAAGGATGTGATAATGTTTCTATGCTCAATGGCGGCACATAAACGGGGCTGAAGAGCCTCCCCGCAAAATACTCCTTTCATACGCACCACTTCTCGCCATGTCGCCTAAACACCCCCATTCCAGTCAATCTCAGAGCTTGTTGAATTCATCATTAACGGCATCATTGATCTCAGGAAGGAGAGCTGCCGGGATGTCTTCTTTCTCTGCTACTTCATCGACGACTGGCAGAGAGGTTACCTATTGAACGGACCCAGGTCTACCCGGGAAAGATAAGTAGCATCGTTGAACTCACTACTGTCAACAACAACATCCTCATTGGCGTCATCGCCCGTCTTATCGGCTGATGCTTGCTCAGCGGCACTAGAGAAGGAGAGGGGAGAGGTTAGTCACATGCTTTGGCTGCCTTTGGGCGACTCGGGAAGGGTCGGCACACGAAACTTCAAAGGGATATGATATGGCCGGAGGAGAAGAATGGACGTGAGAGTGAACGTACTCCTGCCCATCAACAGCGTCGGCGACTTCCTCGACAAAGTCCTCTAGACCCATGATTGCCAGCGGGTTGTGATTCTTGATGGTTTGGGGTGTAGTTGAAGAATGGTGGATAACTTGAGCGATACCAAGTCAAGGCAATGGTAGTGGTTCGTCAGGGAGAGGTAGCATCGGTCGAGTTCCGGTATGATGAGCAGTAGACAATGTGTATAGGGTTCAAAGCTCGTTGAAGCTTTTATACATAGGTAGGTAGCGAAATGATAGGTAGGTACCCAAGAGGGATGATGCTGTAGGTGTCAATCCTCTAAGTTGGGAATAGTCTCTCGATACTCGAGAATCGAGAGAGAGCACTACAGGCACAAAACACAGAGTGACCAATCTGGACACTCCTCACAGATGGAAGCTGCCACCCCTCAAATGTTTGAGACGACTGTAGCAAGAACCGGCCAGCCTATTGATGCTAACGCAAATCTTCACAGCGGAAAGCGCAAAACACACCACACTCATGAATCATCACGTTCCCATCTTATATTAGCACAAGTCAGGACGAGTAGTTGCCAAACACTCGCCTCTGTCCTCAGGATCTGAGTCGATGACAGTCCGAGTACAAAAGGGAGGAGCGAGCGAACAAATAGCGTGGGGCGTAATAACAGCAAGTAAGGAAGAAAGGAGCCACCACAACTGCATCCACTCGCACATCTTCGAGTCCTACCTTCCTAGCCCTGCAGGTAACACTAACACTGACACATGGATTTGACAGCTGTGACAGTCAAAAGTACCTGCCCCTTATCTGGAATTCGTGGTAGGCTCACATAAGAGGAGCTCATCAAACTGGCCAGTAACAGCAGTCGTGATCAGGGCGGGCACGAGAAAAAGTGATGTGTTTTCGGTTGGTGAGATATTGATGGGATTGGCACCTCCTTCTTGATGGGTTTGGTGACAATCACAGAATCGTGAATAAAACCGACGAGGACATGGCTGAATGAGATCGAAAACTCTCGAGCCTGGATCCCTGAATGCGGGCATTTGTTGCGTCCCGTATGAGAAAAATTTGCTAGTTACAATGGACACTCCGCCATTGTTTGTTGTGTCCATGGATTATCCGACAAATTCGATGCAACATTGACTGCTAACAAACGTTCGAAGATGAACAATTTCATGGCCCCGAGGGTCGAGGAGTCTTCTTTCATCCAAAACAAAAAGTACGTGTGTTCTTACATAAACGCCATACCCATCATCGTATATCTTTACAGGAATCAAACAGACATCTAGCAGAACCATTCCACTTGACACCAACACTATAATCAGCGGGACACCAGTACTCTTAACACCAACTTCAATATACCATATCCGAATTGATTAAACGAGCCACAAGTTGGATTTGCAAAGGGGGTATCGTTTCCATGTTTCCCAAGCTTCCCATCTGAGACGCCATCCTCGTAACGCAAAGCATGCCCGTTCGTGGTTCCCTCCTCTTTCTATGCCTTCCATCCCGCGCATCCCGTTTAGCCTCTCTTGAAACCCATGCACTTCCAGTGACACGGAGACAACACGACAAACATACATGATACCCAGACGACAATAGAACATGACTCATAACAAATACAATGTGTGCGTAGATAGCATAGAGAAGAAAGGAGCCTCATGATCATGATCTCACCTCACGAACCATCGGTCGATCGACCGACTGTGAGTCAGCAACTAACGGACCTCCACAGCACTGATAGACCTCGCCGTCCTCCTCCTCTTAGTATTCGGACTTAGTACGGGCCGATCACGATCTGCTCGGTCTGTTCGGTCCGCCTCAGATCTCGTAGGGCTCGTAGTGGCGTCGCTCTCGGGCGCCTCCTCCTCGAAGCTGCTGTTATAAACCTCGGACAAGGGTTCCCGTTGGCTATCACTCTCACTATCCCCCCTGCTCTGGCTCTGGGAGCTCGTGGTACTTCCCTGGCTGTTGTAACCCTGACTGCCCTGACTGTGTCGTTGACTCTGACTTTGACTTTGACTCTGATCGCTCGGACTACTTTGCGACTCCCTTCCTCCTTGCCTATCAGCACGTCGTTTCCTCGAGTTGGATTCGTTCCTCGGTGGTGTGCTGTTGTTGGTGGCGGGTTTGCGTGGCTCCACGAGAAGGTCCCAGAAGCCGATGTGATCGGGATAGAGGTCGGAATACACGTCCGGACCGACAATGTCCTTACCCAGCGCCCTAGCTAGGCGCTCTTTCAAACCGAGAATGGGCCAGAAGGGGACGGGCGTCATGGTTATGTCGAGACTGATTTGCTTCTTCGCTTTCTTGGACGATTGGGGTACCTTGAGCGGGTACAGCCACCGCTCCATGTAATCTGCCGTCACCGTCGCCGTGTAGACAAGAAACCGGGGGTTGTTCTCGATGCCCTCGTCGTGGGCAATGATTGCAACCTTGGTATCCTCGAACTTTGGTTCTGTAAGCTCGAAGAGTTTGCCGTTGCTGGAGCGCGTGGACTGTTGGGAGTCGGATTTTTGCGAGTACAAAGCATCCTGGTAGTAATTCGATTGCGCCATGGAGACCATCATCGCGACAAGATACGGATCCTGATCGACGTCGGCAGGTATCAAATGTTTCGAGCGCAATGCTTGTAGACCGGCGACAGCGTCATTGGGGTTGAAGGGCGTTTGAATAATCCTGAACAGGTTTTGTCGTATCAAAGCAAGTTGCGACTTGTTGAAGTAGGCTAGAATCGGCATGTTGGGTGTCTGCTGGGGTATTCCAGGCTGCGGCTCCTGCGGGCTGTTGGGTACGTAAAAGGAGTCGTTCGGGACCGTGGGTATTGTTGCGAATGAACTGCCGATGGGTGTCTTCCACAGGCACGGAATGCGCACCGCCTTCCGGAAGACGCGCTGGCCAAAGTAAATGTCAAGCTCGGCGTTCATCTTGGGGTTTGCTAGCCTATCCGGGAAAAAGATGCCCATTGCGTTCTTCATGGCCATGTTCTTGCAAAATACTCGTGTCATGGACGGTTCGTTCCTGATAAGGGTGTGAAGTTGGTCGGTGAGCTGGCGCGCAAGGAGCGAAGGATCGAGCCATTGCCCATGAATAGATTCCGGTACCGGCGTGACAATAGGGGCACCTTCGGTGAACGATGCGCCAAGGAGCGTGGCATGGAGATCTGTCCAGCAAATGGGAAGAACGTAGAGCGATTTGCCAGAATTGTCGTGCATTATGTCGTATATAGAGCCTTCATCGGGGCGGTATACCCGGGGAACCTTTCGTTTCCTTGGGGTGGTCCGTTTCCGGCGCGGCGGCGATGACGTCGATGCATCGGTACTTTGGCTGCTGAAGGCGGGGCTGTGAACTTCGGAGGCTGAGGCCGGGGGTTGTTGTGTAGGGCCCGGCGATGGGCCGGATATGTCGCGTGAGGCTGACATGGCTACCTCTATCATGGCGCGCAATTGTCCAAACAAGGTGCCACTGCTAGAAATGAGGGACCTGAAGACAAGAGAAGCCGAGATTGGAGGCGCGCGTCAGCTATGTAGTTCCAGGTTGTTGTAATGTAGATGTAACGTTGGCGCGATGTAGCTATTGCCAGAACGAATGGTCGTCTTAAAAGGATAACAGGTGTTTGCGCGATGATATGATCAAAGAAGATAAAAGAGCGAAGTCGCAAAATGAGCGGGACTGGACGTACTCAAATGCGGTCATGAAAGAAGCAAGTGGACGGGAACTATCTCGAAGGGGGGAGAGTGTTCCTGGTCCGTCAGTCGTCTTCTTTTGTTGACCTATTCAATGGGCGGAGCGCAGTGGATGTCACAGCTCTGCTAGGGCGGATCGGCAGAGCGTTTTGTGGAGGGAGTGATGCGCGCGTCCACTGCAGTGCACGTTCCCTTTTTCTGGGGTCCCCTTTTTTCTGTTAATCCAAGTCAGCCCCACGCACAAAACACAGGTGAAATCACACCAAATTCGCAGCGCCGGTAAAACATGCAAGCAACTCACGTGAAAATGGTGCTTGGAATGATGTTTTGTTTTGGTTTGAGGAATGGAGAAAAGCGATCCAAAACAAGTCGCGCTGGTAACAACTGAGTCACCGTAAAGAGGGGGAAAAAAGCACTAGTGTAGGATCAAAGTTTGCCTTCTAGTTCAAAAAGTGGGAGGAGGGGTTTGTCCGGGTTCTTGTGTTTGCCTTTGGGCGTGAAGAAGCGGAGGGCTGGTTTTAAAAGATTGAAGAAGGCAGTAGGTGGAGGGGAGGCGGGAGAGAACCGTGACGCAGTGATGTATGTGAGGGGACTGGAGAACCCAAAATACCCCTCCATCATCACCCTTTCTCAGTGGACGGCGCACGACGGCGCTTGTGATTCCGCGTTGGTGCGTACACTACTATCACAGTACCTTTAAGCAGCGTAGTAGCGCTCTCGACTGGTGGTGTGCCTGTCGGGTGTGTGGCAGTCCCGGATCTGCGTCGGATGAACAATTGCGCCAACAACAGCCAGCCAAGTCTAGACTGCTGGCTGATTTCATCATTTTCGACGCGCTAGCACACGAGCTCCCGTGACTTATTGCCTTGGCATTCCCTCTTGTCTCTTCAATGTTTCTGCTTGCTGAGTCTTATCCTCTCTCCTTGATGACGGGCTCCCTTGTCGTTCATTCAGGCAGCGGTGGGCGCAGCGCGGCGTTCACGGTGTTGGACTTCATCCTATCCAACTAACATTCAGGTGTTGGCTCTCTTCCAGGTTGTTGGACTCGACCACGGCGTGAACCTTGGACAATCTTCTTCCTTGAAAAATTCCGCCATAATGAGTAATGATGGGATCCTTGGAACACCACCTTGAGCATGGAGTCTTGCTCTTGGTCTGGATTTCGAGACACAGCAGCTTAAGCTGTATGGAAAACGGGCGCTGACATCGAACGCGGTGGCTGACTACATAACACGTGAAGAGTCTTTGTGTCACTGAAACTTCCTCTGTATACCAATGAAGTGGCATTTTGGCTTGTTCACATTCGCTCTCCTTAAACAGATGATGCATTGTGCAAGACCTTCCGATTACCTCGGGACTAGGTGGTTCCACTTTAGGCCGCAAAGATCCACTTTATCGGAGCCAAGCGAGCTGCTGCCTGTCCGATGACGAGGCCGGCTCCGGTAGCTCTACACGTGATGGGAACCGGGAGTGCTTCATACTACTGTAGTACCAGGTCTCATCCGGAGTCCGGACACAGCCACTGCTGAGCCACAAATCCAAATAGGAAGGTGACGCACAGACCAGCTTCAGCTCTCACTGCACACGGTGCAAGCAGCGGTCGTCACCGCCAGCTCGACGTCAGCGCAGGAGAAGCCGCCATCGCCCATCGCTGGCACGCTGCAGGTCCAGGAAGGCCAGCCCAAGTCAACCTAGTCCAATTGACCCCATCACCCCGCAAGGCTGCGCCATAGAACCCGGACGCGGTCAAGTCAACACGACATCCCAGATTTACCTATCTCCAACTTGAACACCCTTTTGCTTAATCTGGTAATAGCTTCATAGAGGGAGCTTGATACCAACCGTCACAATGCCGGTAAGCGCACCCGCTCGCAAGCTCCCAACACCCAGCCGCTATGCGCATAGCTTCCCCAAGCTATACCAGTCAGCCAGCCAGCTACCCCTTAATCGTCCGACAAAGCTTCGTCCACGATCGCATCACCACCCAACAACACCACGAACCGCTTTGCGCCCAATCGCATTCCCTCGCCTCTGGCCTCACGCACCAACTCTCATCACCAAAAGCCAAACTAACGATGCCACTCACTAGGCCTACAACTCCGTCTTCAACGCCGACCCCTCCCCCCGCTTAATCGGCAATTTCCCTCTCTTCCCGCTTCGCACCAAGATCCGCGGGCCAACCTACCCTCTCCCCTTCCCGGACCCTCCGCTCGCCGCCAACGAGTCGCCCGACCCGGACTCGGAGTCATACGACATTCTGGACGAGACGCTAGCTCTCTTCCGCGCCAACACCTTTTTCCGCAACTTTGAGATCCAGGGCCCCGCCGACCGCCTGCTGGTCTACGGCATCTGGTACATCAGCGACTGTCTGGGCCGCATCAAGCCGCACTATGGCGTTAGGGAGGCGACGAAGGAAGTGAACAATGCGGCGCTGGATGTGAACTTTGCGTTGCCGGGCGATCCTGGGTGGCCTTTGAATCAGGTGAGTTCTTTCGGCGATTAGTAGAGGACTTGGGGACAGGAATGGAATATGGGGAATGGAATGGGAGTAAATGTGGCTGCGGCGGTGAACGAGAAAATGGATGGCGGCTAATAAGTTTGACGCAAAACAGATGTACGAACCCCCCCGCGACCGTCAAGACGCAGAAGTCCTCCGTCAGTACCTGTCGCAGGTTCGGCAGGAGCTGGCGCAGAGGTTACTGGCGCGCGTGTACGACGACGAGACCGAGGACAAGCCGAGCAAGTGGTGGTTGAGCTTTACCAAGAGGAAGTTCATGGGCAAGGGACTCTAATGCGATGCCTTCCCGGTTCAGATGGCGTTGCATGGAATCGTTTAGCGCCAAAGTATAATACGTACTCTACACAAATAATATTTCAAGTTTCCTAGAGTGTGAGGGTGTGTTGGGGCGAGCGAGCAAGGCTTTCAGTTGTTGTTGTTCTTACGTGGTCCGGTTCGAACAAGCATAGATCGAATGCACCATATCCATAACCCGATCATGAGCGACATGGGTTGTATCTCCAGTTAACGTTCGATTAGTAGAATTACTGCAGCTCTATTTCGTGCAAATGGTATCTAAGCGCAAACGAGATCTATGCACATCTGTCTTGCTGGTTCTCCTGACTGCTACTATCAGACCCTTGCTCATTGTTTGCCCGCCTCTGATGGACAAAGCATAATCCTTTGGACCCATGGTTGCCTCCACTCCTCCTCGGCTGGTCGAGTCCACCTACTGCAAGCCGGCCTCTATCTGTCTTTCCCTTTCTGACTTTCCCTCTGCCTCATTGCAGCTGTAAAATCCTCCTTGAAAGATCTTCCGATGCAGGGGAGAAAAATGGCATCTTTGAACCATGACTAGGTCTTTCCGACCAATCCACTCATGCCGAAGCCGGCGTCGAAACGCTCTCCTCCATCTTCCTCCTCTTGAATTTGCCCTTGGCCGCGATCTTGCCCTCCGCCGGCTTCGCCCTCCATCCCGTAAAGATATATCCATCCGCACCACCGCGCTCCGTCATCAACGGATGCGTCCTGCCCGGCAAGACCTGCCACCTCCTCGCCCTGCTAGTCTGGATGCTTGTGCCCAGTAACAGCGTGGGGTTGAGAGGGAACTGCTCGCTTCCCTCCCACTTTTCCAGCTCTTCAGCTGTCTTGCCCTGGATCTCCGCCACGTGTCCGCTGTTCCACGCCGTCCTCCTGGCAACGCTGAAGCAATCGGCTAGTGTTGCGAGAGGCTCGAGAGAGGGAGAGTAGATGGCCACAGGGGCGCCGCCAGCCAAGAGGGGAAGGGCGTGCTTGAGGATCGAGATCGGGTCCATGGTGCTGGCGCAGACGAGGCCGGAGAAGTTGCCGGCGCGCGTGCTGTCGACAATGTGGCGAACGCGGGCGTAGCGTCTGCGCTTGCGGTGGAAGTTGCCACGGCGGCTGGGCTTCCAGGTGCTCAAGGTCTCAGGGTCGGCAGTGAGGGGAGGGGTCGAGTACGAGGTGTCGAGTTCGGGCTTGAGGAGCTGCAGCCAGCTGAGCGTGAGAAGGTGGTTCAGTAGCGGGTGCGGCGGGTGTTGTGGGGCGGTGACATCGAAGTTCCAGTAGTTGAGAAATGAAAGGTTCGGTTGGCTGGCACCGTGAAGGACGGTGATGGTGTTGGTTTGGGAAAAGGGAACGGCGAAATCGGAGTCGCGCGGCTTGTTGTCGCGCGGGCGCTTGGGGTGTCGGGCGAGGGTTGTTGTCTCTGATGTTGATTCTTGCTGTTGTCCGTCGACCATTTCCGTATCTTGATGACTGGTCGTGTCAGATTCCTGTTTATGTTCCGTCTCTTCCTCGGCCTTTTCTGTGGTTTCCTCCTCTTCCGCCGCTTCCTCAGTCTCGTCATCTTCCTTGTAGAGAACACCCATGCGCTCGGCCATGGCTGCGACTAATAGACCACCGGTATCATCGACAACTAGCCACCTTCCAGCCAGCAAGTCCTCCTGCAAGGGTGCAAGAGCCTCCTCTCCTTGTTCTGTTGTCGCCTTGGGATCCTCCAGGAAGACATCCGCACCGCCGTAGTGAACATTACCCCAGCAACCGACCAAACCCATCATCTCGGCCCGGATGTCCAAGATCTTGCTAGCATCTCTCTCCTCCAGCTGCCAGTTGGAAAAGGTGGGAACGTCGATGGGCAGGACCTGAAACCTCCTGATATACTTCTTCGTCTTCAACAGCTTGTACTTGGACAAACTAAAACTCGTCTTCTGGTCGAGAGCAGCATGCGATAAGAGCAGCTTGGCAATGACGTCCTTGCCGGCGTTGGTCCCATCGCGCTTCAGCTCCTCAATTTCCGCTTGTGTCAGCTTCTGGCGGGCGTTCTCGTCGATAACTTCTTGGGTAGACCGCGCAATGACGTTGCCGCTCTCGGCATCGACTAAGCTGAATTCTTCGCCAGCGGCGGTGGCAATGACGGCGTCATTGTTGGAACCAGGACCGGCAGCGGGGTTGGCGCATTCGGCGTCCTCTTCGGCGAAGACATCGGCGTAAAGCTCGGAAGGGGGGACGACTCGGAGGCGGGAAAAGCTTTCTTCGGGAAGCTTGTCTTGGACCTCAAAGGTAAGGTAGTATGGGCGTTCGAGGATTAGGTTGGCAGGGAAGGTGCCGTATTTTCCAAGGGAGATCGATCTGGTGGTGTAATGAAGGCATATCAGTATCTCGCTATGTTTTGTTTACATTGAAGCCGTCATGGTCCTCGGTTGACGTACGTATTAGGAGTGACCTGGATAACTCTGGTAACACCGGAGGGCAGCTTGAGGGCTACCCAGCTGTTGGGCTTGATTACTGAGTGGTGCATCTTGAATTGCCTGGTTCGCAATCCTGTTCGTTGCTCGGTTCAAGATTGCAAAAGTGGAATCGCGATTCCCGAAGAGGAATTTCAATTGCCGCCGAGGAAAAAAAAAAAATCGGCGAGAAAAGTCCGGAGCTTAGCGCGTTGCGGGGTCCTGCGGGTCCGTTGCAGGCGTGAATGGGTCTCGACCTACCGGGACGACTCCACGCTCAGGGGACCTTGATGGGTTGGGGGTGGGACCCACTTTGAACCTCACTGCCCAGGGGGATGTGCACTAACAATTACCACTGAAGCATCAACATGGAATCTAAACAATCACACAATTCCAACTTTCCACGTCGACATTTGTGGCTGTCCTTGCCGAATTTGTCATCAACAGTCGATGGGAAGGTGCGTATGACTGCCTACTGGAGAGGGGGCAGTACCTATAGAACAGGTCAAACAATAGTTGTGACTCCGTCTTTTACCACGACTAGAAAATCGTTCAATTGACTTCAACACCATCCGAGTCTCGTCCGCTTCTTCCCAGGCTCTTCCTCTAAACTACACTCAACCATTGCGTCCAACTGTGCCCTCTCAATGTTTCTCGACTTATCCGTTGTGCTGAACTGATTGCTCCACCACCACCACATCATTGGCTCTTGTGACGCTCGAGTCATTTCCCGAATTCATCGTCGAGTTGTTGCCTAGCTACCT